ATAGAAAATGACTTAGTATTTGCATACAGCAATTTACATATCCTCTCTTACAGTTTGAATCATCCCTAGATTACTTATAATACCTAATACAATGTAAATAGTTAATATGCTGTATTTTTTACTATGTAAACAGTCGTTATACTGTATTTGTTAAATACTTATATTATTTTGTTAAATACTTATATTATTTTCATTATCTTTTTGAGAGGATTTAAAAAAATATATTTTTGATCTAGAATTGGTTAAATTCACAGATGTGAATGAAACTCAGGGATACAAAGGACCAACTCTACTTAAAAGTCTGATAATTATCTAAGCTTAAAGTCCAGAAAATACAGAGGAAAATACATATGCCTTGCTTCTCAAAATTAAAGAAACACCAAGTGAATAGTCAATTCAATATATTTATACTCAAGTAAGAAAAGAATCTGTTTTGAAACCAAAACTTAAATAATTTGTATTTAAACATTGATAGCATAAGTCATATAAATTGATTTTATCACTGTTTTGAACACAAACAGCTCATTCAGGATATCGTCCATAACCTATGGACTTTCTCAGATTCAAATATACAATGAATAAAAAACACTTGAAAAGTTCTGATTATTTTAAGTTAGGAAATATTTAATATGTCTAAAATTTGTGAAAAATTCAAATGAGAATAAGAAGCAAAGCTTTAGAGAGATGAGTGGTTAACATTTCAAATCCACTATGGGCTATTAATGCTACTTATAAAACACTGTCAAAAGTTGAAATAAGCCGGGCTCAGTGGCTCAACCAGTAATCCCGTGCCTTTGGGAGGCTGAGGTGAGTGGATTGCCTGAGCCCGCAGGTTCGAGACCCGCCTGGGCAGCAAGACCTCATCTCTACAATAAATAAAAAAATCAGCCGGGCGTGGTAGCGTATGCCTGTAATTCCGGCTACTCAGAAGGCTGAGGTGGAAGGATCGCCGGAGCCCAGCAGGTGAGGCTGCGGTGGCTGGGAGCGGCCACTGCACTCCAGTCTGGGCGACGAAGTGAGACTCCAACTCAAAAAAAAAAAAAAAAGTTGAAATAACAGCATTACTACTATGATGACACAGATGACAATTTATTAAGTATTTACTTACTTGAGACCAGGAATTAATTAAGTACTTCACATAAAACCAATCCTTAAGAACTTACAAGACAGGTGTTGTACCCATTTTACAGATGGGGATAATAGAGGTATGAGGTTTTAAAAACTTGCCCATGGTTTAAAAGTTTAAGAGTCAAGAATCCAGATTTATTTAAGTCAAAAGCATATGTACTTATCCCATGTGCTACAATGATTCTCCACAAAGCAAACATTTAGCAGAATTTGTTATATAATGCTACTATAATAGAAAAATAGGTCAGAAACTTAGAAATCCCCATAATTCTTCTCAAAGGAGTTATAATAATAATTATGTTGGATTATATAAATAATAATTATGTGGATGAATAATAATTCATGTAAAAATTACAAATCACTATTCTTGCCACAAAAGAAAAAGTATGCTAACAAGGCACATTTATAGGAATATGCCTAATGATGAAATACCATGCCCCAATTTTAATAAAATATTTACACACATTTATATACTAATGAATCAAAAATAAGGGCAGTCGATTGTTCTGTGCAAGAAAAGTAGAAACAAAAACTTCTATTCTGGCCTAGTTTTACCATATTTTTAAATATATTAAGATTTGGAACCTTGAGGACTTCATGCTGAGCCAAATATGTAGGAAAAATACTATATAATTCCACCTATATGAGGAATCTAAGTAGCCAAATTCAAGAGACAGAAAGTGGAATGGTGGTCACCAGGGGCTAGGGGAGGGAGAAATGAAGGACTGTTTAATGGTACAGAGTTTTAGTTTACAAGATGAAAACGTTCTGGAGATCTTTTTCAGCAAGGTGAATGTACTTAACACTATTTAACTATATACTTAAAAATGGCTAAGACTGTTTAAAAAAGATTCGGTACTAATACATAGCTATAGATATATATCTGTAGAATAGTCCTACAACACTGTCCGATATAGCAGCCACTAGCAGCATAAGGTATTAAAATATACGATAACTTAAAAAAAATTAAAAAGTCATTCTTTGTTATACTAGTCACCTTTCAAGAGCTCAACAGACAAATATAGCTATTCAGGAAATCATTGAAAAATATATTCAAAATCACAGAAAGGTCTATTAAATAACATTGTTTCAGAGCACACAGACTCAAATATAAACAGGAATTTATATTTTTGATACAAAATTGCATGTGACAAAGGTGGAAAATCAACTAGTGGGGAAAGAATTATTGAGTAAACAATGTTGAGACAATTTGCTAACCTGCGGAGAATGTGGGAGAACAGAAAGAATAACCCTAAATCCACATTTCAACTCTTACTCAAATTCTGGATGAAGCCAAGAATTATACTTAAAAACTGAAACGATAAAAGTACTAACATATAACTCTAATTTAAGAAAGGGCTTTTGGCCTGGCATGATGGCTCACGTCTATAATCTTAGCACTTAGGGAGGTGGAGGTGAGAGGACTGCCTGAGCCCGGGGGTTGGAGACCAGCTTGGGCAACCTGGCAAGACCTTGTCTCTACAATAAATTAAAAAATTAGTCAGGCATGGTGGTGTGCTCCTGTACTTCCAGCTACTTGGAAAGCTGAGGAAGAAGGATCACCTGAGCCCAGCAGGTTGAGGCAGTGGTAGCTATGATCATGCCACTGCACTCCAGTCTGGGTGACAGAGAGACTTCAACAGGCAGGGAGGGGAGGTAGGAAGGGCGGTAAGAAAGGGCTCTTGAAATATAGACTAAGTACAGGAGACAAATATGAGAGACTTTTTTTTTTTTAAAGAAAAAATGAAAATTTTCAGATGAATAAAGCCTAGACAATCTGAAAAATAAAATAAACGGGGGCAGGGAGGGGGGATTGGGGTAGGACAGGAAGAGTGTTACAATTCCTTAATCAATAAAAAAGTATAACTCAGCGGGAAAAGGAAAACTGAAAGTGCCAACAAACACATAAAAAACTCTCAATTTACTTATAACTTATACATTCTATTCAAAATAGCATTTTCAGTCATAAGATGGCAAAGATAATTCCCAGTATTAAAGGGAATGTGGGGAGATAGGTACTAATGAATACAAAAACTGATAAATTTATTCAAAAGATAATTTAAAAATTAAAAGCAACACAGAATACTCATGAATAGAATAATATTGAGCCCGAAATTATTTAAAAATAATCTGAGGGTGAACAATTTACCTAAGAAACTTGGTACAGATAAATGAAATGAGATTAGATATAAATTGATAGTCATTGGAACAGGATGGTGAGTACACAGGGGTTCATTATACTGTCCTCTCTACCTTTGTACATGTGTTTTTTCTCATAGAGTTTTTCATAATGTTCATACTCTTTAACCCAGGAATTTCATTTCTAGGAATTTCACTTACAGGTACATTGTACAGGGAGACAACAATGTAAGTACAAGGATGGTCTCTGATGCAATAAAAGCGACAATCTGGAAATAAGCTAAATGTCCATTAGAGGACTGATCAAATAAGTTATGGAGTATCGAAATATAGTAATAGTAATGTCATATACCTTTAAAAACCTTAGAAGTTGGCTGGGCATGGTGGCTCATGCCTATAATCCCAGCACTTTGGGAGGCAGAGGTTACACGACTGCCTGAGACCAGGGGTTTGAGACCTGTCTAGCCAACTTGGCAAGACCTCATCGCCACGATAAATCAAAAAAATTATCTGGGCATGGTGGTGCATACCTGTAGTTCCAGCTACTTGGAAGGCTGAGGCAGAAGGATCGCCTAAGCCCAACAGGTTGAGGTTGTGGTGGCTGTAAGCGTGCCACTGCACTCCAGCCTGGGTGAAACCGGGAAGACTCTGACTTTAAAAAAAAAGTGTGGAAGTAAATTGTATGAGGTAGATTATGAAAAAGGAAAAAATGTCAAGGGCAGAACAATTGGTACAACTTGACCATATGTAAGTAAAAAATAAAATCATACACATTGATTTGTGAAGGCACACCACATTATGTTCTCATGTTCCTAACAAAGTTCTGAGACCATGTGAAAAACCTAACAGCAGTTACATCTGGTTGGGCAGGGGAGGGAAAACATATTATATTCATTACACTTAAAATGAAAAAAATTAGAATTTTCCAATCTCTCATCTAATAAGGTGATGTGCACTCATTTAGAAACTGCCAGTATTCAGGATCAATATTGGTGAGGAGCTTGTCTCAAAGTACATTTAAATTCTACAGTAGAATAGATGAGCTATAGCTCTTTGACTGTTGATTCCATTCTGGTCTTACCATAACTGTATCTCAGCCCTGATGATCAATCCTAAAGTCCAATATGATCTTGGATACTTACTCTGAAGATGCAAGAAAGATTCTTTCTTGGTGTTGATAAAACTATAAGATTTACTGAGCATATATATGCATCATTCCATGAGGGAATACATAGTCCTTGCTCAATAGTTTTATAGCAGAAGAAAAGGTATTCATACAAGGAACAATTAATGCCATTTAAACACATTATGTGCTCAGAAGACACTGATGTGGGCATGAATAGCCAGGATTCACTGAAGAAGAAGGCAGATTCAATCTTAAAAGATTAGCCAGATTTAGAAAAATAGGGGATAGGAATTATGTAAAACTGCTAGAAAGTATATATAAAAATAAAAAACTGAAATGAGAGACTCAGTATAACTGGAGATAGGGGAAATAATAAGTATGAAATAAATACTACGTAGTATGAAATAAGAAATGAGTAATAAGTTCAAGGTGCTACACATCATAAAAGCATGATGAAAATTAAGACTACAAAACTAGCAAAGAAGAGTTTTAAGAAGAGTTTGGCAGTGACAGCATGCAGAGCAGGGTAAACTATTTTCAAGTCTTTGCTTATTTTTAGCTTGCTTTCTTGACGTTAAAAGCAAATTCATAAACATTATTTCAATACCTCATTCCCAGATTCCAGTGGTCTTTTCTTCCTTGGTCCAATAGCTGCAAGAGCTGTGAGATTAGCATCTCTATGCTGTATCTGTGCAAGCTCCAACTGCTGTAACTAGAAGATGGAAAAAAACAATGTTTATACACAGTCATGCTCAGAGGAAGAAGGAATTTGATCACTAAGTTATTTCTGTATTCTTCACCAAATAAAGTTATGGTATACAATAAAATTAAATTCCCATAGTGGCCCTGGGTACATCTCCTGATTCCTTTACTCCAACAAACTCTTTAGTCCTTAACCTCAATATGGAAGAGGCTGAACTTAGGTAAAGGAGAAGTACAAAATAGAAAAAGAAGAAAAGAAGTTCATCTAAAGTGTTATACACCTCCAATTTAAGCACAGGTTTAAAAAAAAAGTCTGAAAAATAATTTGAAGAGTAAGTTGGAGAAATATTGGTCAAACTACAATCAATCTTTTCAGATAAAAAGATAAGTACTTTAAATAAAGACAGGTTTTTACATCATAGGATACCGTTCTACTCTGCTATATGATTTACAAAGCACTTTGGTAACTCTAACAACCATATAGAAGGATATATTAATTCTATAACACGGAAATTACACATGCCATCTCCTTTTTTACTAATGGAGATACCGAAGTTCTAAAAGGTTAGGACAAGTTCACAAAAGTAACACAAGTTACAAAATGTAGAAACAGTACTTGGATCCAAGTGTTCTCATTACGAACTTTTGCAGCACACACTTTCTCATTTGCAAATAAAGTCCTAGATTTACTCTATATTTACCTTCATGGCAAAAACTGAAAGTGATTTAGTGCTGATTTTGTTGCATAGCTTTCATCATATTTTCTCCAGAATGTCCAAATTGAGAAGGTACAATTTTTTCATATGTGGGCAAAACTATACATAGGGGTATACATGAATGATACCCTATTAAAAGTCAGAAATAATATTACTTCATTAAGGCAGCTAAGTGTCAAATTAGGTATGCTGCTAAAAAAAAGGTGAAGGTCAAGATGAAACACCACTACGAAGGTCCAGCAGCTTTTCCAGAAGAGGAATAATGTTCAGTTCCCACCAAAATCTTACTAACATGGAGAGGAAAAGGAAAGAACCTGGGGCTGGTAAATAACTTCATATTTCAACCAAGATCAAGACAGTCAATTTAAAGTAACCTGTTGAGAAACCCTATACATATACTGAAAATATTCTTTCAAAAGAGTACTAACCAAATTTTTAAAAACATGTTTAAAAAAAGAGTAGGATAAAAATTGTGGTGAAATGGTCAGTCTTAAAGAAACCTCACTTCAGATTATCTTAACCCTTTGCACTCAGTGACATCTTGTGGATAACCTGCTAGCAACTTGACCACATTTTTTTTTTTTGAGTTTGGCTCACAGCCACCCCAGGGTCAACCCACTGGGCTCTGGCGATCCTTTCACCTCAGCCTTCCAAGTAGCCGGAACTGCAGGCGTGCACTACTGCGCCCCGGCTAATTTTTGACTTAAGTGTAGAGACAAGGTCTCACCAAGTTGCCCGGACTGGTCTCGAACCTGTGGGCTCAGGCAATCCACTAGCCTCAGCCTCACAAAGTGCTGGGAGTACAGACTGAGCCATGAAGCCTGGCCTTGACTGCAGTTTTTAACAAAATAGTAAAAAACAAATCACTTCATATTAAATGGTATAGCATTGGAACCAATTATTTTATTGTGATAATATTTGGCTTATAATGGAATTTGACATGGAGGAACTTACTTATGACAAAAAAATCAAAATTTTATATCTTATATTTTTCTAACGTGAAACAGTCACTGACATGCATTGCACGTTCATTGTTACATGCTGTGTAATAGTAATTTGTTGGATGTCTTTGACATGGTGTTTTTCTATTCGAGCAGACAATGCAGTCTCGTTTTCTTCCTCCCACATTAGTAATATGCAATTTATTGTCCAGTCTGTTGTTCGAAGACAATGTAGAAGGACATACTAGTGATTCATGAAAACTACCTCTTAACCAATAGATTGGAAGCTTGACAAATTTCAAATGGGACATAGGTTTTTCATTGTTTTTGAATGGAAAACTTCAAGGAAACACACATTTAAAAAAATTTTTCACTTGTATAAGTTTGTCCTGTATAGTCACCAGCAATCTCTTTATGTCCCCTGACAGAGGACATCTGAGTGCAAAGGGTTAATATTAGAGGAAAAACAATTAATCAACTATAAATAACTGAATATTTAGGAAAGCAGAAAACAATTGCTATGCTCTGAAAATCTGTATCCCTCCAAATTCCTATTATTGAAATCCTAACATCCAAGGTGATAGTATTAGATGGGGCCTCTGAGGTAACTAAGTCATGAGGGTGAATCCCTCATGTATGAGATTAGTGGAACCCCTTGCCCCCTCCACTATAGTGAGAACACAGAAAGGAACGGCTGTAACCAGACATTGAATTTGCTGACACCTTGACTTGGACTTCTCAGCCTCCCTAACCACGAGAAATAAAATTCTATTGTTCCATAAGCTACCCAGTCTAAAATATTTTGTTATAGCAGTTCAAATGAACTAAGACAACAATTAATTAAACAAAGTGAACCAAGAACCATTTTCCATTTACTCTACAAGTTACAGGACAGAAATTCTTCTTTTAAACTGTGTGCTTACTTAATAAATAAATTGTTTAAAAAGTATTTTCATAAGTTATAGATATCTTTTGTTATCACTAGTCTTTTTAATTAAAACATATAGTTTTAGAGTCTGATGCTACCACAATCTAGAACTTCTAGGTGACAAAATAATGATTTTAGTTAATTTACCCACAGCACAAATCTATCAAGAAGTTATATTTTGAAGTCCTTTCTTGTAGAAAAATGGCATCTGCAAGAAAGTCACACAAAACAAAAGGTTTTTTAATTAACCCGTCTTCACATTACCCATCAAGTAGTAAAACATTTTCTCCCACTCTGAAAATTATACTTTGGCTTTCTAAAGTTTCACACACAAAGTTTTAGAAAATTTCACAAAAATCTAACAAGAATGGAAACTCATCATAATTTTGCTTGGCCTGGTTTGTAGCAAACTTTCTAATAAAAGAATTATTTTGGCCAGCACAAAACAGAAAAATAGGCACTTTTAATGAGAACAGGAGAAAATATGGGCATAATGCAGATTTGGCATATACTGGGGATAAAGACTACAATACATAAACTGAGTTCAATAAAAACCATCAGTCAATGAGTTAGAGACTTGCCCGTAGAAACAGGATTGCAAATGCATGATTATCCATGCAGAAACCCCCAAGTTATCTATTAAAAAACACAAATCCTCCCAAGACTAATAAGTGAACTTAGCAATACTGCATGATGCAAGGTTAACACACACAATCATCTTTCTAAATACCATTAAAGTACAATTGGAAACTTAAATTTTTAAAATGCCATGTGTAATATTGCTCCCCAAAATTATATACTAAGATATAAATCTAATACATATAGGTATTTATAAACTATAAATCACAAAATGCTTATGAAAGAAATAAAACATAAGTGGAGAGACATACTATGTTCATGGATTATAAGATTCAACATAATAAAAATTTGGAATCTCTCCAAATTGATCTACAGATTTAACACAACTCCAATAAAAATTTTTTGTACATATGGATAAGTTGATTCTAAAGCTTATATGGAAAGGTGAACTAATTAGAATAACTAAAACAAATTTGAGAAAAAAAAGAACAGAACTGGAAATATCACATACCCGATTTTAGGGCTTCCTATAAGCTCACAGTAATGTAATATTGGTAAAAGGATAGACACATAGATTAATGAAACAAAACAGATAATCTAGAAATATAAATATGGCCAACTGATTTTTGGCCAGGTTGGAAAACAATGAGAAATGACAAAATTTCTCTTTTTGACCAAACTTCTAAGCCCTCTTCTCAACTAGGCTTCAACTTTGGCCTAAAAAGACTTAAAAAAAAAAAAGAAAGAAAGAAAGAAAGAAAGAAAACGAAAAAGACCAGGTGCAGTGGCTCACAACTGTAATCCCAACACTTTGGGAGGCCGAGATGAGAAGACTGCCTGAGCCCAGGAGTTCGACACCAGCCTGAGTAACTTGATGAGACCTCATCACTACAACCAATCAAGAAAAATTAGTCAGGTGTGGTGATGCATGCCTGTAGTTCCAGATACTTGGAAGGCTGAGGTGGAAGAATCACCTGAGCCCAGAAGGTTGCGGCTACAGTGGCTATGAACGTGCCACTGTACTCCAGTATGGGCAACAGTGAGATTCCAACTCAAAAAACAAGCAAGCAAGCAAACAAGCAAACAAATAAACCAACCAAAACCTAACCCCCCCAAAATAAAATAAAATAAAACAACACAGGTTCTAACACCTCAATGTCACACAGGTTCTAACACCTCAATGTCACAGCCCTAGATGATCCTAATCCCCCCTTATAGGGCCTATCTGAGAAAACTTAAGGCTGTAGGAAGAATTTACTATTTCAGCCAACACATGAAGATAAAACGCCCGACTCCCGTCCTCTGTGGAAAGGAAGGAGCTTAACTTCAATAAGCATCAGTTAACAAAGCCAGGCAGGTTTTAAACAGACAAACCTCCTCTCCCTACTTTTTTCATTTCTGACTCTACTGAGCTCCTGCTCACCTCTCTCCATACTTCCTCTTTCTCCCTTTAAAATGCCCAGAACCTCTGTACAAATAAAGCGAAGTTTGGGTTCATTCACGCTGGATGTTTTTCCTATTGCACTAGCATAGAGCTGATTAAAATCTGTGCTTACCACTTCAGTGTCCAGCACAGTCTTTTCAACAAATGCTGTTGAAGCAACTGAGTATCCTTGTGCAACAAAAATCTATCTGGACCTAAACCTCACACCTCGTGCAAACATTAACTCAAATGTAAATGTCAAACTATATAAATTTATCAAAAAAAAAAATCAGAGAAAATCCTTGTGACTTGGGATCCAGCAAAGAGTTTTTAGATATGATACCTAAAGCATATCCATAAAAGAAAAAGAAATGACAAACTGAACATCATCAAAATGCATAACTTTTGCTCTGTAGGAGACAC